GAGCCAGAAATCGAGGTGACCACGCTTTGTCAGGAGTCTATCAAGCGTTTGCAGAAGATCCACACAGGTTTCTGCAAGCAATGGACCAAAGCGTACAGTTCACAGATTTTCATCAAGTTAAATTTCATGTGAAACCAAACTTTTTCAGATGATTGGTTGATGAAAAGAATCAGCCAGTGGTTTGACGTTTGGTTTAAAGGGTGCCGGGCAACCCTATAATCCCGAGGGGTACCAGGTAACCCTTAATCCTGGGGAGTTTGACAAGGCCACAAGGCCATACAACATTGGAGTTGAGCAACACTCTGATGGACTGAAAAGGTGAGCACTCAGGAGATCTAAAGTCTCACCTGAGTGAGGAGGAGTGCGAAACAGTTGTGAAAGCACTCATGCCGTTCAGATGATGTCATAGCATGGCAGTTGCAGCAAGGATGACACGCACAAATCTCATTCCAGTCCATTTTATTTTCACCATGCGTACATGGAAAATCCATGTGAATCACCAGGCCCTTTACGGCTCAGTTCAAAAGGAGAGCGCTGTGCACCGTTTCCTTCACAAAAAAAGTATGAGTTCCAAAAAAAAAAAATGGGTTCCAAAAAAAGTATGGGTTCCAAAAAAAGGAACTCATACTTTTGGGTCCTTTTTTGCCGGTACTTTTTTTTCCTGTTTGAACTGAAAATCAGTTCAAACAAAAAAGAAAATACCTGGAAAAACGGATTTTGCAGGTACTTTATTTTTTGTTTGAACTGATTTTCAGTTCAAACAGAAAAAAAAGTACCGGCAAAAAAGTACCCAAAAGTATGAGTTCCTTTTTTTTGGAAGCCATACTTTTTTAGGTACAGTGTTCGGTCGAAAAAAATATGAGTTCCGTTTTTTTTGGAACTTATATTTTTTTGATACCCATACTTTTTTCGGCACAATGTTCGGCCCGAAAAAAGTATGAGTTCCTTTTTTTTGGAACTCATACTTATTTTGGAACCCATACTTGTTTGGCACTCAGTATAGTTTTTTTGGCACTATGTTTGGCCCGAAAAAGTATGAGTTCCTTTTTTTTTGAACCCATATTTTTTTGGCGCAATGTTTGTTCCAAAAAAGTATGAGTTCCTTTTTTTCCGGAACTCATAGTTTTTTTGGCACTTATATTTTTTTCGGCACAGTGTTTGGCTCGAAAAAACTAAGTATGAGTTCCTTTTTTTTTGGAATTCACACTTTTTTTTTGGAACCCATACTTTTTTTGGCGCAATGTTCGGCCCGAAAAAAGTATGAGTTCCTTTTTTTTCGAACTCATACTTTTTTTGGAACCCATACTTTTTTTGGCACTATGTTGACCCGAAAGAGTATGAGTTCCTTTTTTTTGGAAGTCTAATTTTTGGAGCCATACTTTTTTTGGCACAATGTTCGGCCCGAAAAAAATATAAGTTCCTTTTTTTTTGGAACTCATATTTTTTTTGGAACCCATACTTTTATTGGCACTATGTTTGGCACCAAAAAGTATGAATTCCTTTTTTGGGGGAACTCAAACTTTTCTTTTGGAACCCATATTTTTTTGGCACAATGTTCGGCCCAAAAAAAATATGAGTTCCTTTTTTTTGTTGAACTCATATTTTTTTGATACCCATACTTTTTTCGGCACAATGTTCGGCCCGAAAAAATATGAGTTTTTTTTTTTTTTTGAACTCATACTTTTTTGGGCTGGAACCCATACTTTTTTTGATGCAATGTTTGGCCCGAAAAAGTATGAGTCGTGCCCTTTCCAGGAACTGTTTTTTTTTTTTTTAGCGGTGATTTTTTGATGAACAAAATGTTTGGATTTCTCAGAGATGCCTTTTTTCCCGGAACACTTGACTCTAAATACCTTTGTTGTTGAATTGTGTTTGTTTATGCGGATAAAGGACTTCATTTTATAGGTTTCCTTTCTTTGGGGGACTTTAAATTTCCATGGGCCTGCATTGTTTCTCTTTTTCATGTTTTTTGACTTTCTGGAACGGATTTTCTCAAGGATCAGTGTTGTCGATTCTTGGTTATTGTTTTGTGTTTTTGAGGAAACCTCAGATGTTTTACATCCAAAATCTGTGTTTTTCTTAGTTGGTACTTTTTTTACTCTCTTTTTTAAGAGTTATTCTAGAAGTGACTTTTTGGAACGACCAGATCTTGTTTGCAACCATAATAGTTTTACTTCTTAGAGCTCCGCACATAAGAAAAGAATTCAGCATTTTTGAACCGCATATTTTTCCTGTTTTTGTTTTGGATCCTTTGTTTTTTCTGGAGCTTTGAGATTTGTTCGGATTTCGCATTGGTTATTTCTCCTTTGAAGTCTTTGTTTTCCTACGGAGAGCTTAAAGATGTTCCTTGGAACTGTTTTCTTTTATTTCAGTTTATTGATTTTTTTTTTTGGTTTCGTTTGCTGGGCGAATTCTATCTTCTGGAAATGTTTAAAACTCTTAGTTGAACCCCCGCAAAGGATGTGTTGAGTGCCATCACCTACTGAGGGTTCATTTGTCTTGGGGGTATTCTTCCGTCCTCACTGGATGCAATGGAACTCGTAAGGGATCTGTGGTCATTTCAAGAAATAGTGTGTTGATGAGGTCTGAGACTCAAGCTCATCCGTACCAGGGTTGGACGACCATTGTTGTTTTGCAAGCAGTTTCCTGTAAAGTACCCGTTGTTCAGTCCATTTTCTGCCTCACAATTCGTTTGGAGGAATCCTATATTTTCCTTCAAGTTCAAAATTTGGAACCCTATTTTTTTGATTACATTGCCTTCAGGGAAATTTGATCAACTTAATGTTCTTTGATTTAGTTCTATCAAAAAGCCAAGGGGTTCTGTTTCATGAGTTTCTTGTCTAATCAGAACTCCAGTTTTTGCATTCTCGGGGTTCCGATGTGTCTTATATTTGTTGAGCTTTTGTTGATGCTTTACATTCGAGTCCCAGTTTTACGCTTTTGCTCGATGTGCTGTAGATCGAAACCAGATACATAAAATATGAATAATACCTCAGTTCAGCTGGTGTAAATGCAGATCCTTGGTTTCCTTTTGCAACTGTACGTTCCTTGCACCCGGCACAAACAGTTTCGATGAGCAAAACTCGGCCAAACGCCACCACCTGAGTCTTGGATCTCCTGTTTCTTGATCCCCATCACCACCACCCCCCTAAAATAAATACCCTTGCCTTTGTGACGGTCTGAATTGTACTTGTTTTAAGCTGTTTTTCGTTTCATGTTTTGCCCGCATCTATATTGCCGAAATCTTGGATTGCCACATGTGGTTGGCGTGAGTAGAGCCGTAATCTATATGAGCCTGGCTGGGCCAAATAGTATATACAGAGAATTAGAGACTTGTCCAGCGAAATTGGTTATTTGGATACAGCCACTTCACTATGGAATCGCTTGATGCAATTTTGAAACTGTGATGCACATCTCACAAGCAATCCACCCGTTACAAGTACCTCAAAAAGTATGGGCGCCTTTTCAGAATGAACTTTCACCAAAAAAACAGGACTTGTGAAATTTGGCAATCCACATCCCATATATATATATTTATATTTATAGCAGTAGAAACAATTGCATGCTTGGTATTCGGTCGAAACCTTGACTTCAACATGTTGTCATTTGCAGTTGCCATGTTACCTATGTACAGGTGAAGTACACGTATATGCATTGGCGTTTCGTTATCAAGGAAAAGAATCAGTTGTGGTTAAATGTGATCAAATGAAGTTTTGAATTTCTTCTAAAAGGCAAGAACTTTACAACTTTTGATTTACCACATGCCAAACAATTTGGGAACAAAAACATAGTCAAATTTGTTGTCATGCCCAGCTCTATGTGTTTTTCTGTATTTCAGCAAGTGTTCAATCACTAGAATAAGAATCCATCAATGTTGAATCTTTGCTCAAACTTCCAAAAGTCAGGCCCACAAATCAGGCCTGACAGGATGATATATTTTTGCATTGACTTTGTTGTCCGAATTAATCAGCTGAATGCCTATGAAAAATCAAGGGGTTTTGCAGTTTTGACGCCAGCTCGGTGTTTTCCATTGCTTGTTGGTGTCCGCTCATACTCTGAAATTTGTATCCTAAAGTTAAGAACATGTTTTTCTTTCTTGTATATGTGATTATATTAGAAAATGGCGACTATTCATGTTTGGTTTCATTTTGAAATGGACATAACAATGGACATATACATTTTATTCATTTTTTCGACAAACAGTATTTTGTGAGGTCGGTATACGGTCGAGACCAAGCAAACATGCATAAACAATGAGCAAAAACACGTATACATGCACAACTGATTTTTGTCAACTTTGATGCCATACCGGCCGCCCCCGGGTAGTCGGTGGGCTGGTAGTTTTTGCTGGTGACCAACAGTAGGATAGATGAACAGGGATACCTCCAATTTCAAAACGGAAAAGTGAAATCTATTACTACATGGTTTGTTTTCACAATAACGCCTGTGGACACTTGATTTTATTGCTTTCTGCCTGTGATCAATAAAAAATTGAATCGCAGAATTGGAACCCCCCCCACCCGTACCTCACCCGTAGAAATCGTCTCGCTGGACTTAGTAATTTAAACACAACAGTGGTGAAATATGTTTGTTGATTACTTTTAAAATGCAATGATTAGTAGGACATTGATTATATATTCCAGATGACCGGCAATTTCCGGGTCTTTGTTCCATTTGGAGTCGCAACTATTCACCATGTTTTGAATCGCCCGATCAGTGGCCCAAGGGTCAGCCGAAGTGCGCCTTGGTGTGTCCTTGAGCCCGCGCCGCCAAAATTTTGTGAAATGATTCTTGGAATTTGGAAAAACAAAATCAGGACTTGTGAAATCCGGCAAGTGAAACTTGTAGTTCAACCATGTTTCAGTGTGCTTAACAAACTTGCATTGCAACTGAAAAGACGAAACATGGGAAGTGTGTTATGAAAACAAGTATATAATGTTATGAAAACACAAGAATATGGATGTTTATTCGTTAACATTTGTATTTCTGACGCTTTGGCCATGGCGGCGAAAATCACTCTGAAGATTGCTGTGGTTGCAGTGTGCCTAGCGGAAACATGGATTACAGCCGCCATGACCGTTCGCTCGGTTCAGACTGTCCCATCCACAGGCAATGATATGAATCAAGACTCCGACTATAATACTACGCCTGTTCCAGTTACGTGTGGCAGCAACATCTCAAACTCGACAGTTGGTTCCAAAGGAGGTAAAAATCATCATCTCTTTTGTCCAACTCAGACAGGCAGGGTCGAGGCCAGCACTTGCGGCTCGAGTTTTGAAACAGAGATCCAGACGAACGGCACCACACGTGATTCCAATTGCGCTGATTGTCCGGCTGACTCCAATGCATCTTGTGTTGGATTCAACTTCAGGTGCGGAGGGAGAGGGTCTATCTAACTTGAAATTGATTGGAACCTCAGAAAATCTTTTTCCGCGCCCAGCATCCCATTTGCAACACCCTGAGGCCCGGAGAGTGCTACGAGATTGTGGTGGGTGGAGATGGGGTATCGGGAGACTACGTTCTATCCATGAACTGCACCATTGCGAACACAACAGTCGTTCCCGTTGGTTGTGGCAGTGTGGTGACTGGCTCAACAGTTGGTTTGAGTCGTAAGCATCACATTTTATGTTCCAATGAATTCGCCAGGGTCGAGGCGAGCACCAGTGGGTCGAGTTTCCCCGCAAATATGCAGCTCAACGATACGGTCATCGATTACCGCCCTTGCCCAACTGACTTCAATGCAGATTGTATGTGGTTCAACGTCAGGTGAGGATGGGAGATGGGGAGATGGGTGTGTTCGTTATGTTCCAGGCACATTGCCTCATTTCTGCTGACAGAAAAAACATATTTGAAGAAACCTTAATTTGCAGCTTTGGCGTGTCTGCAGCGCATGTGTGCCTTTCTTTCGCAAATTCTTGGATAGTGGTTTGAACATCTGACAAGACAAAATCAGTGCCAGAAGTTGGATAGCTTCGCATTTGTTGTGTTTGGAAATTGTCTGCTCGTCCTTTGTTTTGGATACATGTCGGACACGAACTTCCGCAAGGAAGGAGTGTGAGCTCATGCTCAGCTCGTTCCGCTGTTGTTTGCTCAGGTGCCTTGATGCCTTTGGCTTTCCTGGCCATGTGTTCTTTCTCCATGTCGTGGTACTCGGCTCGACACGCTGTGCTTTCCTCGAAGTTTGTTGAACCTGCCTATGTGAAGTTCATTGTTGCTGTCTTTGCTGTCCAGTCATCATCAATCCTGTATCCTCTTGCTCCTGATGTTGGCTTGACGATTGTGTGTCGATGTGGCTTTGTAGCGTCTGGGCCATCGATGGTTGTGGGATGTAGACTTGAGTCCGTTGTTGTTGGACTCGTACTTGTTTCCAAAGATGCCTTTCTTTGATCCCTTTGTTTTGGCTGAAGATGCCTAGGGTGTTGATTTGTATATATATATATATATGTATAAGGCATGTCTTGTTCGCCAATGTAGCCTTACCGAGAATCTTCTCTTATACATCCAGATGACCTTTGTTGTGACCCATACAGGTCCTGGTGAAAGTGTCAGTGGTGAGATTGCTGCTTCTGTAAGGCGTTGTGTTGATCTAGGAATCTTATTGCACGTTGTGGCATGTTTGGTTAGAAAAAGTATCTTTTAGGCCCATGTATGCTGTGAATTTGTATTTTCCATTCCTCAAAGGTGGAAAGTTGCCGTATGTTGGAGGTTTGAGTTTGAGTCTGTGTGTTGCATCGCCAAAGCTTCTGTGTGGCGGTGCTGTTGGGGATGCTGCGATCAAGGCTTCTGCCCTGCCTGATGTGCTGTTTCCTGGAGATGCTGGCAGAGCTCCGATACCATGTAGACATAGCTGTTGTAACAGGTCTGTTGAGGCTGTTGGAACCCTTGTGGCACTGTTGTGGACGCCGCTGTTGAAGTACGCTAGGCTATGGACGCCTTGGGCATTGGCGAATTGCGATGAATTGTTGACATGGCACAGCCGTGTCAACCGCCAAACAATCAAGCAACGAAGCACTGAAGCAACCAACCAATTCTTCATCCCACCAAGCAGCCAATCCATCAACGAATCTTCCGAACAGTCAACCATTCAAGAGCCTTGCTGGTCAATCCATTTATCACCTCAAGCTGGATCACCATGACATGAAAGACGGCCGCTTTTGGTCCGGGAAAAATGACGATTTCTCGAAGGCCCCAAAACCTGTTTTTAGACACCATGAGGAACTGATTGGAAAATTTGTTTATCCCCATACTGGCAATTAATGGACATTTTTCATGGATATATATGATATAATGAGATATTAAAATCACCAATATGGTAGCATAACTTTCGTTCATTAATCAACAGGTTTTTTTTTCCCCAGCCATTCATTTGCCTCGCCCTGCGCGAGGCCTGGAATGTGCTACGAAATTGGGGTGGGTGGATTTGGATCCGAGGGAGACTATGTTCTGTCGATCAGCTGCACCGTTGTGAATGCTACAGCTATTCCTGTTGCTTGTGGCAGCCTGGTGACTGGCTCAACAGTTGGTTTGCCAAGTCTGAGGGGATCCCGTTCAGGTGATCAGCGGCACATTTTCTGTCCAAACACGACAGAAACGGTCCAAGTCAGTACCTGCGGTTCCAGTTTCGACACCGTGCTCTACATCAACGGCTCAGATATTGATGATTCTTTTGATGACGTTGGATTTGGAAATGGTGTCTGCAGAAGGCAGGAAAAAGTCAGATTCAATGTCGAAGCTGGAGAATGCTATGACATTATTGTGGGTGGACACAGCAATAGTGAAGGAACCTACTCGTTGTCGATCGATTGCTTCAACTGCATAGATGTTACGTGTGGCAGCAAGGTCTCAAACTCGACAGTTGGTTTCATAAGAGGCATAAGGCAGCATTCCTTCTGTCCCAATGATACGGGCAGGGTTGAGGTGAGCACTTGCGGCTCGAGTTTTGAAACAGAGATCCAGACGAACGGCACCACACATAATTCCAATTGCGCTGATTGTCCGGCTGACTCCAATGCATCTTGTGTTGGATTCGACTTCAGGTGCGGAGGGAGAGGGTCTATCTAACAATGAAATTGATTGGAACCTCAGAAAATCTTTTTCCGCGCCCAGCATCCCATCTGCACCCTGAGGCCCGGAGAGTGCTACCAAATAGGAGTGGGCGGAATTAATGCTTCAGAGGGAGACTATGTTCTGTCGATCAATTGCACCATTGTCAGCACCACTTCTGCACCAGTTTCGACCTCGGCAACAACCGCTACAAGCTGTGCTAACTACGTATGCCCTGACGCTTTGGTGAACGATGCAGATCAGGCGCCAAGGAGTTGAAGGTAAAAACCGTCAATGTCACACAGACATATCACAGGTGTAAACAATTTACAGTTTATAAATATGTTCATTGTGTATACATAGTATACATATATATATATTATATACATGCATATATATATATTATATACATACATATGTATAAATGTGATATAATATGTAAAAATGCGCTATTTGTTGTACAAGGCGCCCGGAATACAACTTCACGCATTGTTTTTAAGTATTGAAATCTTGCATATGAGTATTTGTGTAAATGGATGGCGCTCTATCACCAGAGGATGTTGAGAAAAACAGCATGTTTAGTGAAATCGCAGAGACAGGTATAGCATTTTCCAGCCTTGGACTGATGTTTTGGCAAAGCCCTACACGAGGATGTCAGGATGTCAGAGTATATCTTTGGTTGTGCTAATGCTTGTGGCATGCACAGGAAAACAGTCTGTGTATGTAGGGCAGTCTGCCAGTAGCATGTAGGGGTTTTCTGTGATCTTTCTTCGGTTTCCTGGGATGCGTTGCTTGATGAAATGCCTAGTTGGTAGGCGGCTTGGTTGCTATGGTTGATTTGCTGGTTGGCTGGGTGGCTGTTTCATTCCGTACTTCACTATTTGACTAACAGATTATTGAATGGATGAATGCATGGAAAGAACACTGCTCTGACGTGGCCTATCGTCGCGACCCGAGCACATCCTCCTCCTCCTCCTCCACATGATCGTCTTCATCCGCTCTTTCATCATAGTGCTTAGATTTGCAGCAGTTTTCCCCCTGCACACCGAGTTCCCACATTATCTTGTTCAAATGTGTCTGAAGATGTCTGAAGATGTCTGAAGATTTTCAGGGTGCATTGCAAAGAATTGATGTAGTTCTTGTTGAAATTGCTTGAGAAAGTGAAGACTGTTGCACAAAGTGCGTGTTGGAAGGTACTAGACAAAGTTAAGAGCGTCGCATCAAGAGCGTGTTGGGAGTTACTTGAGAGAGTTCAGAGCTTCGGATGAAGAGTATGTTTGAAGTATGTTGAGTTTACTTGAGAAAGTTGAGATCGTAGCATCCAGGAGAAAGTTGAGAGCGTAGCGTTGAGAGCATAGCATCAAGAACATACAGGTAGCATCAAGAACATTTTTGCCACTTCCGAATGCCGAACCCCCACCCACCAAAACCAACCCAAGTCAACGTACGTCCAAGACTTGTGCGAAGTCACTGCAGAGATACGATGTTCAGTGCAGTGCAGAAGATAGACGTAGGTGAGTGCTAGGCGTAGAGTCGTAGAGCGACTTCAATGGCATCCACTGCAAATTGACACTGCTGAGTGCAAGTCAAAATTTGTAGATGCTGAAGTGATGAATTTCAATGATTGAAAAACGTACAAACATAGAGACCTTTTCGTACCTCTAAGTTCCCCGTAAACACCAAGGTAAAATGTGCATTCGCCAGCACGAAATGCATGCGAAGAACACATGCCCTGTAAATTACAGGATGAAATCGCCGCATGAATTGCGACGAAACCTGGTGACTGATCCAAAAACAAATGTACAAGCATTTGATCGACCGGTTGATTGCTTGATTGTTCAGTCAGTTGGTTGGCCCTTACCCACAGCCCTACAACTTGACAACTTGAAGTAAGTTCTGCTTCATCAGCGCCCAGCATACTCGTTAGAAATCCCGACAGAAAGGGATATTTGGCGAACTCACACCATGAAACAGGCGTGGGAAACCTGTAAGAGCATGCGAGCCAATTTAGATTCTGCGCCCTTGTGTCGTCTGTGATGTGCTTCATGTAGCCGCAAAAGACATGTGCAAACCGTCCTGCCCCAACAATACTTTGCTGCAAGAATGCTGCAATTGCGAAAACTTCGGCGCAAGCTAACTTTGCCTGAGACAATAAAGCCTGTTTCTTTCAAAAAATCATCTCTCAGGATTCAAAGACAGGGTTTTTGCTCAGACCCCAAGACGAGTCTTCTTTTGCGTAGATGTAATTCCCATTGTCACACGGAAGTCTTCGGACATTGTGTGTTGTATGTATATATCAGATCTGTGTATACTTGTTTGTTTGTCGTTCGTTTCGGACAGTTTAGCAGACTTGGATAGGGGCTGTATAGAAACATGCAAACATCGTTTGATGACTTGATGACTTGATGACTTTCAGGGTCTTCAGTTTTGCTGCTGAAATCCAACATCAAGTACCATTTCAGGCTTTTTGAGATGACCATTTCAGCAAGTACGAAACAGATCGGGCATATCGCAAATCGTCTGCCCTCTGAAATTTGGTCTCGATGCCTGTGGCACTGAGATGTTTCAGTAGCACATTGTTAATGGATGTTAATGGCATCTTGTCTCAGCAAAGTGCGACCATGTGCAACCTTTGTCTACAGATTGTTGATTGTTTGGTTTGCACTCTTTCATCTACAGTCTGGAGATGCCAGGTTTGCAGTGCGGCCTGCGATGAAGCCACTTGCTGCATCACAAGGCGGGAACGGCGGAGGCGTCGACGGCAAAGGCGTCGACAGCAGCGTCAAGGCCTTGCTGCGAACGACGTTGCCGTGCCAAATGCAGCGCCCAATGCTCTCATCAATACAGAGGCGGCAGGGTGATGAAAAGGTGCAACTTGTAGGCTTACCATGGCTTACCATGGCTTACAATGTTTTTGTTTGTAGATATTTCTCATTGAAAGATGGTGGAGGGCACGTGTCCGAGTTTGTCCTTAGTTGGAGGCTTTATATTGGTTGCTTCATACGGAACTGGACATGTAAATGTCCGAGCGATACAAATTTTAGAAGAATGGGACACTGGGGTGACACCATCGCTCAAACCAGCCAGAAAAATATGGGCTTTTTTTCAATTGGTTTCTGCACCGAAGACCTTCAGTTTGCAAAAAGAAGTTGGACCAAAATAAGTTGAGGCGCAAGGTATCAGGATTTCACACAAGTGTGTTTCTTTGACTCACTTGTAGCATAAAAACCTCTGTGCCCACAAAGTCACCCATGCCCACATTCACCTTGATGTCATGGTTATCCATGCAGGAAATCATGTTCTTGCAAAACAGTGAGGAGGCAGAAGACGAGTTGTGAGAATTCAACAGCGCTGTTTGCAGATATTTCCGCCGAAAGCCTGCCTGTTGGACGGGCTTACAACACGTGAAATGTTGTTGTGAAATGATGTAGTCAGTAGTCAATAGTCAATATTCATCAATATTCCATATGTTAAGTGGTGAAATATTCCATTGACTCCTTCAACAAAATCCTATTGTATCCTATTGTTTTCTTGCGGAAATACCTGGGATTTGTCGCCTTTTGTTCTTTGGTGCTTCCGGGAAGACCGGACCCTGGTGGTGCCATGATATGGTGCCATGATATGGTGCCATGGTTTATACGAACTGGCTTGATATAGTATAGCCAGGAAAAATGAAATGCCATTTTTAGATAGCATTCAAGATAGAATGACAAAATACGATAGGATATATGTATACATATATATTTATAAATATTTGAAGTGACATGCGTAGTCTCACAAAATCTAGCACAACACAAACACAACATAAGACGATTTGATACAACAAAAGAAGACAGCACAATATGAATCATTTTTGAGGCAATATGAGTTTGATTGAGCACACGATGCAACATTAATATTCAACTATAGTCTATAGTATTAAACGATAGACCCCAATATTGCGAGATTTAAGAATTAGACATGATGATAATAGAGAGTACTACGATGTAATACATTTCAATTTGTAAAATAGAAATTTTACTAATATGCTCAAAAATGATTCAATACAATTTAGTGATGCAATGAAATAGAATAAACAATGATTTGACATGATATGGTTCCACTATCTCTTGCATGACGTACTTGCTGGTCAAGCCTTTTGGGGTCAAGTCGCATGAGCGCGTGGATCCCTGATACCCTCAGAGAGGTTCGTTTGTGGTCATCCCATAGCGATTCGAATTGCCCCTGGTTTTTACTGGTCACCCTGGGTGTTTGCATTGGGTGTTTCTGCTGGTGCGCCGGGCTCTTTGCTGGTGCATTGATCTTTTCTGCGCAGTGCAGAAGGTGTTTGGGCCAGAGCATTCGAATCCTGGTTGCCACCTGGTATCCAGTTGCCCCTTTGGACCTTAGAGGGAGGCTAGCTGAATATAGGAGAGACTGTTGATGCCCCCCAAAGCTGTTGTGGAAAACGATATTGAAACTGTCACTTTTCTACTTGCTGGGGCCCGGATCTCTATTTCAGCTAGACCTGCTGCGGCCGATTCTCAGGGATCGTTTTCAGGTTACGAGGTTGTGAGTTCCGCTGCCTCTGAAGCGAGTGCACCTGATCAGTCTCCTGTGGCACCATCTGCTGCAGTAGACGCCCTTGCTTTGGAAGCGACCTCAGCCTTGGCTTTTGCAGCATTGCCAGTGCCTCAAGTGGATCTCCTGGAGCGCCAGTTGCGTGGTTCCCACTCTACGTGGACTTCACGAGCGAGATTGGGTAGAGCTTTTCGAGCGGGTGTAGCAGCTCGTGAGCGATTGTTGGGTAGGGAGTGCGCAATTGCCTCCCCTACCATTCCTTTCCAGAACTCCATCTACATTGTCCTTCGCTGCAATTCCTCCCTCAGGGTTTTTGGACTTCCAGCTATCGTACGTACATTGAGGTGGTGGGAGATCGTCGAGGTCTCCAGCCTGGTTCCATCAGTCACGCCTTTGCGTCCCGTGCAGAGGCGACGGCCTTTTTGGCTGGGGCAGCCCGGCCATGGCCCGAAGAAGTCCAATGAGTGGGCCTCTCACCCGAGAGGCCGCAGAAGGCTTGTTGAGCCAGCCTTCAGCTCAGAGAGCATTGCCAGAGATCCATCTCCCCCTGCCAGAGGAGGGAGACAATTTTGTTTGTGTTGCATGCCATTTAGTGTACCTGAGGGAGAATGGTTTCATGATCGTGATCCCGTGTGCCGACGCAGCTCACAATGCTGTAGCCGCCCTGAGCGATGCCTCAGGCGAAGATGCACCCATGTTCTTTGTAGGTTCTTGCGAAGTGGAAACTGTCAGAGGGCGAAACATTGGCCAAGCCGACGTAGAGCTGGTGGATTTGCCTTGGCTGCACATAGGTTTTTTCCAGCATCCAAGAACCGGACGGCAAGCTGTTCCTCGCGACCGGATTTTGACATGCAAGGTTGCAGACGAAACTGGACGTCCTCGCCGCCAGTCCGCTCACAGTTTGGCCTCCGAATGGTTGTTGACCATGGAAGAGACAACCGCCCAGGAGTACCTCACCGGGGAGGAGTTGGAAGCCGAGGCGGAGCCCGACCGCAGTCTGCCTGCACCCGCACAGGAGCTGGATTCTGTGGCAGAGCTCAAAGCTCAAATCCAAGCGTTGAAAGCCCAGCTTGCCTCAGCTCAACCTGCAGCAGTTCCTCCTCCGCCGCCAAAGACGCCCAGTCTTTTCAATGTAGGAGTGACGCCCAAAGTGTCGGCAGCCGATTGGACCAAGCTGAAGCAGTTGGCAGGCTCGCCCCCACCCAGAGTAGGGGCAACCGAGACTCGCCGATCTCTGCCTGCGAGAGCGATTATGTAGAGGAAGAGCGCGAAGTAGCCGAGCCAGGGGTTGCAGGTTTGGAGCTTCCTGCTCAGATCCAGTCGGCCGATCCGGCCCAGCAGTTGATGTTTCTCCAGATGCAGCAGAATGCCGTTTTGCTCCAGCAGCTGGTGACCAAGCACTCAGACCCAGTGCTGGGGGCTTTGTCAGGCGGCAGCGCCTCGGACAGCGGAGGAGGAAGCAGCTCAGGAGTCAAAGGTTGCCTGGCTCGGGAGGTGTTTTTACGGGCAGTTCAAGACCTTACCAAAGTTGCCGACTCAACTCGGGCCAATCTGCTGCGAGAGCTAGGAATTCCAGCCAGCCGGGAGGATGGAAACTTGATGAGGAAGTATGTAGAGAGGAAAATCCCTCTCGCAGAACACCGACTCCTTTCCCAGTTTGCCTTCATGATTGCAGAGAGCTGGAACATAGGTTTCGAAAGCCAAAACATAGAACTGCTAGGGGTGCTCAGTCTGATGATGTATTTTGTGGAACAGGCTGCAATAGAGCAGGGCCGTACTCAGACTGCATGGCTTCTGTGCGGATGGCAGGAACCTCCGTACCAAATCCTAGTATCGCACAAGAGACGCAGCGGCCTGCAACAGTTCTGCCGGATTTGCAACCCCAGCTGGATTTCCGCCAATTTAGCCTATGTCAAAGACTTGGACTATATGGAAAGCCGGCTATCCGCAAATGCAAAGGGATCGAAAGCCATCCAGCCTCTCGAGGACGAGCCGTCAGCTCAGCCCAAACGGCGGCCCCAGAAAGGCCGGGGAAAAGGGAAGCAAAAGAGTCAGCAGGGAGAGGATGCAAGCAACAGCACCGAAGCGTGATTGCCTGCCAGCCCTCCGAGCATGCGCAGCCGAGCGCCCTGGACTCGGATAAGAAGGGTTGTAAACCATACATAGATCCCCCTGAGTCTAGGCCCCCTAATCTCGTTAATGATGCTGCCATGCTTAATATAGACCGTTTCCCTGGAGAGAAGTTCCCCGTAATTAGTTCAGTTTTGCATGCATGCCAGGTCCTAAAATCCGCACCTACTGGTTTGGGTCATTTCATTAGGAAAAGCCTTAACCCGGACAAAGCCTGCACCGTTGATGGAGTGTCAAATCTCCTTTGGCCGGTTCCCCTCCCTAGGTGGCGTTGGACCGATGCAAGCCGCCTGAATCCACGACGTCGACGTCGTTTGCGCTTTTTAAGAGCTCGGCATGAGTGGCTGCAGTTAGTCATAGCTAGTTTGAACTGGGAGGTCCTGGGGTTCCCAAAAGAACCCCCACCTCGCGCTCAACTAGGGGCGCCAATCTCTGAAGTGCAGCATCAGATTGTTGAACGTCTCGAGTCGATGCTTGGCCATTTTCTTTGCATGCCAGACTTTGAGGTGGATGACTTGGGCCGTGCTCAAGAAAAAATTTCAGGCGTAATTCAAATGGTGAAGGAACTTCCTTGGTGCAAACTAGGGTTAGAGGACCTCCAAAAATTAGCTGTTCAGCTGAAGCATGATTTGGATTCCTATGGCAGTCATTTCAAGCAGAAGCCTAGTCCTGTTTTCCAAGAAGAGCACCCATGTCATGCATGTTCGCCACGTACAGTTAAGCATCCAGCTGGCATTAATGCCAAACCAGTTGTCTCAGAACGGGTGAAGTGGAACAGCCCTCCTTCTTTTGATGCAACTCCTTTTTTAGATGATTTGCTTGTTCGTGCAGCGTATGCTGATCCTGATGTGCTCCGGAAGGATATTGAGACGTGGCCGCCTGCTCACCCGGCGAGAGCCCATTGTTCCAAGAGCGAACTGCTGGAGCTGGCACGACGATGGGACCAGCTGGGAGCATGTTCACTCATGCCAGCCTGTGAGAAAGACTTTTCCGAAGCAGTAGGCCTGTTTTGTGTCCCAAAAGATAGGTCTTTTGATAGGCTCATCATTAACCCTGTGACCATCAACAGCAGAATGCATACCATTACTAGATCCACCAAGGAATTAGCCCCTGGTTGTTTACTCACCCTTTTACATCTTGGACCTGGTGACATGTTCCGGTTTTCAGCTGATGATCTCACTGATTACTACTACACGTTTTGCGTTAGCGCAGCTCGCGCTCGGAGGAATGCCATCCGTATGCGTTTCTCTTGGGAGGATGTCCAGGCTTTCAAGTGTTTCAAACCTGAGTTCAGGGGACAGGATCTGTTGGTGTGTTTGAGCACGCTCGCCATGGGCGACAGCCTTGCAGTTGAAATAGGTCAGCAGGCGCACAAGAACGTCCTTAGGCAATTTTGTGGGGCCCTTCTAGCTCATGAAACCCTTAGGTATCGATTCCCCATTCCCCGTTCTGACTTTGTAGAACTTCTTGCTATTGATGATCATGTTGGGATTCAAAAGTTGGCCATCAAAGATTTCTCAAAAAACCCTGAGCTCAGGGACACTCAGATTTTCCGTGATGCCGCTTTTGCCTACAGACATGTAGGGTTGATCCAGCAGGAGAAAAAGCAAAAACGGAACCAGACCGAGGGAATCATCCTGGGAGCAGATTTCAATGGCGTTGAGGGCAGAGTCATGGCCCCGAGGCCCCGCATTTTGATTCTTTGCCTTATCACCTTGCACCTCGCAATTCGAGGGACTTGCACCCCCAAGCTTTTGTCCACTGTTTTAGGCTGTTGGGTGCATGTGCTGATGTTCAGAAGAGTGATGTTTGCGTTGGTGAATTCATTATTTAGAGAAGGCCAAGGTTTGCCGCCTGACCAGACCTTTTGTTTGGCACGGCAGTCCCGATGTGAATTGCAGCTGTTGGCAACATTAGGCCCTTTGGCTCAGACAAACCTGAGGGTGCAGCATTCTTCAAACATATATAGCTGTGATGCTAGTCCCACAGGTGGCGCAGTTGTGGTTGCCCCCATCAGCTCAGCCGCCACCCAAGAACTGTGGCGGCACTCTGAACAAAAGGGTTACTATACCCGGCTTCTCAGCCCTGCATCCGCTGTTTTAGCCGAACTAGGGTATGAACCTGAAAGCAGCTTGCAGTTTGGAAGTGAAGCCCCTCTACAGACTTGTGAAATGGTGCAACAAATCCCTCCTTCACTTACCGAGGGTTTCTTGTATGACTGTTGTGAAATTTTCAGAGGCAGTGGCAATTGGTCTCATGTCCATAGCTCTCGCGGCCTGACTTGCCATGATGGTTTTGATGTGGATGGGAAGCGCCTCCGCGTTTCTGACCTGGCTGACATGGCCACCTTCCGTGAACTCGTGGCCCTGGCATATCGCCGTGTGATCAGAGACTGGCATGCTGGTGTTCCTTGTTTGAGCTACGGAACCCTTAGGAGGCCTCAAGTGCGATCAAATGAATTCCCATTTGGTTTTGACCCGAGTGACCCTTTCACATTTTATCATAATATGTTGGCTCGGCGCACAGCTTTTGTTTTGACCATTGCCCTGACCCTAGGCTGCTTCGTGAGTGTAGAGCAGCCCAAGAATTCACGACTTTTTCGACTTCACTGCTTTCAGGTCATGGTGAAGCTTGGGTGTATCATTTCTCATTTTTGTTTTTGCAGTTATGGAAGCGCCTTCCAAAAGGCATCAAAGTGGCTGCACAATAAACCTTGGCTCATAGATCTAGAATCCACCTGTGACTGCCCCTACAAGGGAAACCATTTTAAGATTGAAGGCACCTTTACCAAAGAATCCCTTGCTGAGTTTTGTAAGAGATGCCGCCCATCCTGCACTGCCGTCTTCGGGCATACCCCGACCGTAGGTCAAGCTGTCTCGGAATTTTCAGCTGCATACCCCCTTAGACTTGTGCATATGATGGCTAGTGGGCATGTCGCCGCAAAACGAGGATCCCTTTCTCGAATCCCACTTTCCAAGCAGTATGAAGCTCTCAGTGAAGTTGGTTTGGTTGACCTGGAACCTACTTGGCTGCCTGCGACCGACTCAGCATATCCTGCCAGACCTTGGTTCGAAGATCCTGAGTGGGTGCGCGAGTTGTCAGACAGCCTGCCTTTCACTGAACTCTTCAAATTCCGATTCCGAAAGTCAGGACACATAAACGTGAATGAAACACGGACTTATAAATCCTGGTTAAAGTACATGGCCAAACATGAACCATGCAGTCGTTTTATGGGGTTATTTGATAGTAGGGTAACCATTGGGGCCGCAGGAAAAGGTAGGTCTAGCTCTCCTGCACTTGGCAGGGTCCTTCAGGGGTCAGTAGCCTATGTGTTGGGCAGCGAGTTGTATCCCGGCCTTTTGCACACAGCTTCAAAGGACAACCGGGCTGATGAACCGTCTCGCGACCGAGATGTGCGACCGCCCAGTTTTGCACCTCCGGCCTGGTTGTCCGATCTTCTGCGTGGTGACCCCAAACGTTTTGACATGGTAGTACAATCCAGCTCCATCAGCAAGAACCCAGCACGGTGGCTGCGATTCCTTCTGATGCTTTGTGGTGACATCGAGCCGAACCCAGGGCCTTTCCGGGGCCAGCTCGATTTAACTGTTGGCTTTGTTGCTGCGACTTCACAGCGCATGGCGCGCTGTCTGGAAGGATTTAAGATCTGGGTCCGGGACGTAGCGGAGGTAGATTGGCTTCCTTTGACTGAGGATCCCCAAGCTCTTGACTGGGTTGTACTGCTTTGAGCATGGCCATCCTCGCTATCTTTTTGTGTATGCCATTACTGCTACGCAGGACCTTTTTCCTTTGTCGAGATCTTTCATGTCGGTAGCCTGGCAGATTGACAAGAAATGGCAGATCCATGAACCTGGCACTTCGCGTGCCGTACTTCCTGCTCTAGTGGTCAGAGCAGCAGTATGCTTAGCAGTCTTGTGGGGCTGGCACTCCTGGGCAGGAATTGTGTTAATCGGATTTGCTGCAATGTTACATCCATCGGAAATGTTGAGTTTGCTTCGCAAAGACCTTGTTTTCCCTTCTGATGTTTGCTTTGATACTGCGGCTCTATATATCAGGATCCGAGATCCAAAGACTGCAAGGTTTGCTCGGCGTCAACATGGTAGGATTGACGATCCTGAAATCATTCTGGTGGCTGAGACCCTTTTTGGCAGGCTGGCAGCAGACTCGCGTTTATATTTGGGGTCTATGCACAGCTTCAGGCGCCAATGGAACGCCATCATGTCACGTCTGGGAGTGCCTTTTAAACAGAATGATCATGGAGCTACACCTGGCGTTTTGCGGGGATCAGGAGCGACCTTCCTTTATTCCTCGTCTGAAGACATCGCTTGGGTTGCTTGGCGTGGCCGATGGTCCAAGATGCGAACGTTAGAGTACTACCTCCAGGAGGTGGCAGCCTACATTTTGGTCCACAATTTGAGTGCCATTGCTAAGGCTAGAATCGGAGTGCTTTCAAAGTTCTCCTGGAGCGTGCTTTGGGAGGAGTTGCTCCTTGCGGAAAGTAAAGCAGAAGTGGAGAAGAAGTTTCGAAGATCCAAGCTTGGAGGATGAAAGATTTTCCTTTTGAGTTTGGAATTTACAGTTTTGAGTTGTGCTGACTGCACTTTTTCCAGCGACAGTCAGTCAAAGCACACTCCAGGGATCCTTTGAGCAAGGCAGGCAGAAAAGAGATGGTTCCACTATCTCTTGCATGACGTACTTGCTGGTCAAGCCTTTTGGGGCCCACCGCTCCACGCCCATTTTGTTGGGAGAAGAAGTTTCGAAGATCCAAGCTTGGAGGATGAAAGATTTTCCTTTTGAGTTTGGAATTTACAGTTTTGAGTTGTGCTGACTGCACTTTTTCCAGCGACAGTCAGTCAAAGCACACTCCAGGGATCCTTTGAGCAAGGCAGGCAGAAAAGAGATGATTTGATTTGACATGATATGATTTAATTATAGAGAAAACCATAACATATCATAATATATATATGTGTATAGTATTTTAACGCACTATGCTAGACTCTAATACAATCAAATGCAACTTGCAGAAATTTCATTTACAGTAGTATAATATTACTTAATCCGTCTTAACTAGTATGAGATATAGTTTAGTTAAAAATGGTGTAATATGATATGACTTGACATACCGTATTCCAATACAATACTAATAGAATAAAAGATAATACAATACAATGTAGTATAGAACCGGTTCATTTGATGCACTAAAGTGTACTTTGAGCGCGCTACGATTTGGTTTGGGACAGTTTCAGAGGGTCTGAAAGAGATACACCATCATTGCAACTAAAACCACTATAACGCCAGATGACACGCGACAATTTAATGTTCTAACCTATGTGTAGTATAGTTTTGTGAAGGATGATGTAGTAAATTCAAGCAATATATCTAATATAATCTAATATATATATATGTATATAGTGTAGCATAGTTGAAGACATGTATAGACCATATATACCTCATGTGCAGTGTATAGATCCAGGGGTTTAACGTGAGCCCGATGTTACTTTTGGCTCAAGTAAAATAGAGCTCCGCAGCTCGATATTGCGTTTTCATGGTAGCGCGTGAGCCTGGTGAGTCCGACGCCGACTACGAGTTGAGGCAAAGGGACCACAGGCACAGCAAGTCGAGGTGTCTTGCGAGTAGCTCCTCAGAGGAGGAGGAGGAGAAGGAGAGCCGAGCGGCTGGTTCAGCCGCCGGCTCGGAACTGGGAGCGGCTGGTTCAGTCGCCCCAGTAGTGATAGCAGAAGAGAGAGAAGAGAAAGAAGAAGCAGAGAAAGCCCTAAGCCCGGAGCAACGCCCAAGATCGGATTCTACAAACGTCAGCAAAGTTATCCAGGTAGACATCTTCAGGTTGAAACTGCGAGGTCAGCAACTTCTCCTGGTGGTACAAGAAGGCCAGCCGCAACTTTGATTGGTTTAGCAAATCCAGCAGATCAAGAAGCGACCCAGACATCCCAGGTCCATGGCTTGAGAGGCCAATCTGAAATTTGTCAAGGTTCAGGGCCAGATCCATCAGAGCGGCTGGAACTTAATCCAAGGCCGCCTAGTCAAAGCCCAGCGCCGGACGCGCCGTGGAATCGTCCGCGTGGAAGTGAGTTGAAGAGGACTCACTCCAAAGGCTTTAGACTGCGATCCGCTCAGTCCCGCCAATACCGCAACCTTCGAGGACAATTGAGTCTTGCGAAGAAGCCGTGGATTGAAGGAACAGGTCGACAGGTTTGGAAAACGGCGACAAGAGACCTTTAAAAGGAATCCAATTCGGTTGAAGTCGGTTTCGCGACATCCAATTCGACTTCGTTCAGTGGCAAAGGCAAAGGCAAATCCATCGTCAAGTGCAAAAGCCAAGCCAAGACCAAAAGCGAAGGCGAAAGCAAAAGCCAGGACTTCAGCCCGAAACAGAGCGCGAGGGCCAACGGAGCTTGAGGCCAGCTGCAGGAGAGCGGCTGATCGGCGAAGACCGGTTAGTCGTACCTCCGCCACCGCCTGAAGCGCCAGTGGCACCACCTCAAAGAAGGAAACTGTACATCAGAAGAGAAGATGTGCACAAGCATGGAGCAACTGAAGGTTGCCCAGGCTGTACTTGTGTCCTTGAAAATCGAAGGACAACTGTGCCTCATACTGAAGCCTGCAGGGCAAGAATCATGGGCAATGGAGAAAGACGAGACTGGAGCAGAAAGAATCCAGGCGCATGCAAAGAAGCGCAAAAAAGACCAAGAGAGAGACAGACCAAAACCAGCGGTCGTGTCGACCGGAGAGAGAGATATGAGCGTAGAAGATGCAGAAGGCAGACCGGTTGAACCGAGCGGCGTTGAACATCCGCGGCCGGAGATACCGGAAGATCCAAACGAGAGAGCGAAGCTCAAAAGGCAAGTGATGCCAGGATCATCTTCTGAAGCACAGGCAAAGCCGAAAGTGTCGCCACAGCAAGTGAAGCGACCTGGGGGTCTGAGTATTGCATCAGGTCCACCACTGACTAAGGCGAAGCCATCGCCGACGCAAGGTGTGAAGCGTACCGCCGAGGAAGGTACGGGAGATTTGGAAAGCAGAGCCACTGCTGAGCAAGCGGCTGTTCCAGCCGCAACACCAGCAGCGGAGAGTGCAACAGACACAGGAACACATTGTGCTCCTGTGTCTGGTGCAGCTTTAGCTGTGTTGAAGGAGGTTGCTATGGGCAACATCAAGACGTTGGTGGAAGAGACGTACAAGAAGAATGGGATTGAAATCTCGTCTCAAGAAATCACTGACATTGCGAGTTTGAGTTGCGAAATGGCAGCAACAGATATTGCAGAGGTTTACTCACCGAAACGCTTTACGGCGCTGGCACAGCAGTATAAGCTGAGGCCAGGGTTCGCTGTAGATCTTTGTGAGACAAAGGAAAATGGTGAATACTGGAACCTCAACAAGACAGCGGACGTGGAACTCCTTCACGAGCTGATAGACCGTGAAGAGCCCCTGTTGATCACAGGCAGTCCGCCTTGCCATTTGTTTTCAAAGTTGCAAGCGATAAGTTGGAACAAGATCCCACCAGAGATAAGAGAGAAAAGATTGAAAGAAGCATTGCATCACCTCCACACGTCGTGTGATGTGTATGAAAAGCAGATCCAGCAAGGGAGATACTTTCTTCATGAGGCGCCGTGGGGTGCAACGAGCTGGAAAGATGAACGCATATCCTCAAGGGGTGACGTGTACGTGGTGCGAGGCCCTATGTGCAAGTGGGGCATGACGGCTACAGACCGTCGAGGCCTGCAGGGTACAGGCTTTGTGCGTAAAGAGACCGGGTGGATGACAAACCACCCAGGATTGGCAGAACTGTTGGAAACAGAATGTACAAATAAAACAGGTGGAGCACCATGGCACCGCCACATCCACTTGATCGGTGGCATACATAGCCCAGCAAGTGGCAAAGTATCCGCCGCAGCTTGTAAGAGCTGTGCTCAAATGTTTGAAAAGAGAACTGGAAGAAAGAGGTGAACTGAACGCTGTCGATGCGTGCAGCGCAGGACCAGTTCCAGAAATACCAACCGTAGACCCAGAATGGGAAGAACGGTACGTGGATGATGTCAATGGGGGAGTGCTTCCAAAAGAGGAAGTCGAAAAGGCCAGATCAGTAGAGATGCAGTATCTTCACAAACAGGAAGTATACTTGCCAGTGCCGATTGAACAATGCTTTGAAGAAACCAGGAAACCCCCGATCAAGACCAGATGGCTTGATACGAACAAAGGTGACCCAAGTCACCCGAATTTCAGAAGCAGGCTGGTTGTGAAGGATATAAAGGCCGCCAAACGGCCTGAAGACCAGCTACCTGCAAATCTTTTGTTTTCAAGCACACCGCCTCTCAAAGCAATGAGACTGCTGTGCCCATTTTGGGTGACCAAACAGAAGTCGATCCACGGTGAACGACTGAAAGTTGGTTTGTGGGACATATCCCGCGCACATTTCTATGGAACACCATAGCGCAGGATATTCATAGAGCTCCCCAGCGAAGAGCCAAGAGCTGAGGGAGGCAAGATGTGTGGACTTCTCCAGAAGCCCATGTATGGAACACAAGATGCACCGAACATATGGCAGTCCCATTACTCAGGGATTTTTGATAGAAGGTGAGTACAAGCGTGGAAAATCCAATGCTTCGGTATTTTACCACCGACAGCACGATGTCCGTGTGATGGTGCATGGAGATGACTTCCTAGCACTAGGTGATCAGAAACATCTCGGTGAGCTGGAAGACTTGCTGCGCAAGTCCCATGAGCTGAAATGTCTCGGAATTATCGGAGACCAACCTGAGGACAAGAAAGAAACTCATTTCCTGAACAGGTTGATTCGGTGTGGTGAAAGTGAAGGAAGACCAGCAGTATGGATTGAACCTGATCGCAGGCATGTGGACCTGCTGATCCAGAGTTTTGGTATGGTAAACGCGAAAGGCGTAGAGAGCCCAGATGTGAAGAAATCTGCAGACCAACAGGCGCTTGAAACAAGGAGCCCCCTGCTTCCAAAGGAAGCCGCGTCAGAGTTCAGATCCGCAGTAATGCGGGCAGCTTATCTGTCGCAAGATAGGCCGGACATTGGCCATGCTGTCAAGAACCTCGCGAGACGGCTGGTTCAGCCGACTGAGGCTAGACCTGAAGAGACTGACCAGATACTTGATCAGATACCCAGACTTCGCTCAGGTTTTCAAAGCACAAAAGATACCTGAGAGACTTGTTATACAGGTCGATAGCGATCATGCAGGAGACACAGTGACAAGAAAATCGACCACAGGCATGATTGCCTTCTATGGGCAGCATGTCCTGAAACACAGTTCGAATGTGCAGTCAACTATTGCACTTTCGACAGGTGAATCAGAGTACTATGCTCTGGTTAGAGGTGGAAGTACCGCGTGGGAATTCAGTCCCTATTGGCTGACTATGGTATCAATGCAGCTGTCACCATCGAGTCAGACTCGAATGCTGCAAAGGGTACAGTCAACCGTGTTGGACTTGGCAAAGCACGCCATATCCAAACCCGATACTTGTGGCTGCAGGAAAGGGTAGCCGAAAACAAGGTTGTGCATGTTCCA